GTCAGATAAAAAGATATGCTAATCCAAATTTTCTCTGACCTTTTTCAAAAAAAAAAATACCCTGGAGCACATATATCTGCAACGGAGGCTACACAATCAATCAAAAGTAACCAATTTTCAATTCAATTAGTCAATTATATTGAAAACAAACTTTTTTCAAAATTCTGAAGGATAATTAATGTAAATTTTCAAGAAATTTGTAATTTACATTCCGAATTTCCTATTTTATTTTTTCAAAACTTAAACTTTTAAATTCATTGTTGGAGAATAAAACAGATCACCTAATATCATGATATACATATTTTTATAATTTTTTAAAGGTGTGATATGTACACCTAATTTAAAAAATAATCCTGGCATATATAAGGTGAAAAAAGTGCACATTACTCATCTGAATTTCCTGACTTTTTTTAAATAACAAACCTATGATGTACAATATTTGCCTGAATTACAAAAAAAAAAATCTCTGAGACTAATCTTTCTTAAATTTCAAAATATAAAGGAATATGGAACATAATGCTATATATATGTGACATAAATTTCTCTAAATTAAGAATCTCACTGAAAGATTTACATCCAGATTTCCTCTGTATGAACACAAAAAAAAAATTTTAAGGTTTAAAAAGAAATAGAAAAAAGCATGAGGAAAAATGACAATATCAGTGCTAACTTTTGCAAGCTTTAGCTGAAAATGTTGATGATGTAGTTGACAAAATGAAAAACATCACTGAACACGACAAATTGCTAACAAGGTAGCTTATGAAAATTGATTGATTGTATGTTGTTTCACATCCCATTCAATAATTTTTCACTCATATAGAGACGTCACCATATACCGGTGAAGGATTTCAAATTTAGAATTTTACTCGGCACTCAGGGCCATTGAGCAGTGAGGGAACTTATCGTGCAAACGCCTACCGCCTCGGTTTTTAGGGTCAAGCAACGTTCACTTCAAAGTGCAACGCGCTTGGCAAAGGAATACTTGCTACCTATTTTCTATTGACTTAGGCCAGTCGCGGCCGTGATTCGAACACAGGACCTTCCAATTACGGAGCGAGCTCTCTACCAACTGAGCTACCGTGATGGCAGCTAGCTCAGGAGATTTAGCGCTTGTTCCGTAATCGGAAGGTCAGCACTGTTCCTTCGCAAATTGAACTTTGGGCATTATCCAGTTATTGACTTCACGAAGTCAATAAGTTTGACGTTGTTGACGTTAACGTCAAACTCTTACTTTTGGGTTCTTATATGATATTACACTGTTCTCGATGTGAGAATTGCCTAAATATAGACGATAACTACATAAGACAATGAGGGATTTAAATACTTTTTACTTTAAAATCATTTATAATGTTATGCTCAGAACATATACGAAAATATCAATAACGTATATGCCTTTATTCCGTAAATAATGTTCTTTTTTTGTAATTAAAATTTAGGACATTATATGACACAGGGGTGATTGAAGAGGGAGGTGGTCTCTTGGCATAGAACCAGTATAATGAAGAAATTTTCAAATGTGTGTTAACTTGTATGCTTCGAAATTTCTTGCACCTTACTTTTATGGCTTTATTCCGACATATTTTGGAGAAATGCATAAACGGAATAAACCAAATTATGATTGGAGGTGAAGTCCGTGTAGTAAGTATCAATATTTAAATATATTTAAATCAATATAAATGAAATTCTTCAACCTCTCTTCCGTAAATTTCTACATAACTCCCCCCCCCCCCCCGGAAAAAATCATTTTTATTACATCCCGACAAAGAAAATACACTTTCCCTAAAAAAATCTCACCCTTTTGTATTTGTAAAAATGATATCCCTGTCAATATATACACTGTATACTACTCTGATTTAAATCGATTACAGTGAAATACGTAGGATTTAAATACCCTCGTCACTCTATATGTATACTCCTGTTATTTAATCCACGAATCAGATGAGTTCCGGGCTTTACTTGCGTCGCTATTTACTCCTGTTATTTGATTCGCTTTTCATTAAAACGTGCATTTTTAAGAATGACCCCCCCCCCCCCAAAAAAAAAAACAACAAACAACAAAGCCCCATTTTTTTTAAATATCTCTCCCCCAAAGAAAAAACCTTTTCCCGGGAAATCTTCCCCTTCTTGTACCTTTTAGAATGATATCCGTCTCTCTCTATATATACTCCTGTTATTTGATTCGCTCTCTCTATATATACACTACTGTTATTTGATTCGGGAATCAAATGAGTTCCGGGCTTTACATGCGTCGCTATTCACTCCTGTTATTTGATTCGCTTTCCATTAAAAAATACATTTTTAAGAATGACCCCCCCCCCCAAAAAAAAAACAAACCAAGCCCCATTTTTATAATGTCTCTTCCCAAAAGAAAACCCTTTTCCTGGGGAAATCTTCCCCTTCTTGTACCTTTTAGCGTCTCTCTATATATACTCCTGTTATTTGATTCGCTTTCAGTGAAATACATACTATTTAGTACCCCCGTCTCTCTATATTTACTCCTGTTATTTGATTCGCGAATCAAATGAGTTCCGGTCTTAATTGCATTGGTTTTTACTCCCGTTTTGTGATTCGCTTCATGGTGAAATACAAAGGCTTTAAATACCCTCGTCGCACTATATATATACTCCTGTTATTTGATTCGCTTCAATGGGTAAAATAATTAACAATTTAAATATTACGGACCCAGCATTGTAACTATTGTAAGCGATATGAAAATCTGAGAATGTTGGGAGTATAAAAATGACCTGGGATGAATCTGATGTTAACGTCAACAACGTCAAACTTATTGACTTCGCGAAGTCAATAACAGGATAATGCCGAACTTTGAAGTGAAAGTTGCGGGTCCTTCGGATGAGAATTTAAAAATCGAAGCCCTAAATCACGGCAGACGTTGGCATGATAAAGATCTTTCACTGCTCAATGGCCCTGTGTGCCTAGTATAGGTCTAAATTTGAAGCCCTTCACAGGTATATTGTGACGTCCCTATGTGAGCAGGTGAGAGAAAAATTATCCAAGGGAACGTAAAACATCATACAATTACGTTTAATATGACATGTTAACAGACGCATTGCTGACTGCTTCTAATCCTGTCATTAGAATAAGACTTGCAAAATTTGCTGCTTTAAATACAATGATTTTCATATTAGGAAGTATACCGATGTTTCTAATAATTTGATAGTAGTTAGTTAGTCAAAGGAGCGGAATCGAATACGGTACGAATTAATATTTACCAATATATATCGACGGTAGTTAAGTCGTGATACATAGTATTCGAACTGTATAGATTCTTCATACGAGTGTGATATCATATCTGAGAGCTTGGACTACCAGAGCAGTTAAAAATTTCGTTCACAACAGCGTTCTCCCATTCATGTTAATAATTTCCATCTTCGATGCTGTTACAATCACTTTTTATAATGATACTGTAAAGAGTCTTTTGTACAGATGTTATCCGTAGGTGGTGTGACAAAGTGCAATCAATTGTCTAACTGCAGATAATTCTTTTCTTCTCTTTCTCTTGAGCAAGGTATCCATTTCTTTCTATATCTCTCTACTCTGTACGGATTGAGCATCCTGTATAGGTGAATGAAATGAGACCCTTATATCTTGGCATTTTTACTATCACTCAAAGCTGTCCAATGAATGAAATATATGGAGATAACGAACAGTGGTGTATCTCTCTATCTAAATATATGTAAAATAGTAATGTGTATATTTATCTGAAAAACTTCTGATATGTTATACTTTCTTATTCTGATATGTCATACTTTAAAACAAAGAAAAGGCGGGAAATAAAAACGAGTTCGGAATGACAGACAACTTACATGAAGATTTAACCAGATTATTATTAGTGTTATATAAAATCATGTAAAATAAATACCACGATATGAAGTTCATTTCTTAAAGCCTTCGAGGGGAACTTTTCATTACGGTAGATCAGTCGGTAGAGTGCTGGCGCTGTGATCGGAAGGTCGTGTTTGTTTGTTTATTCAGGAAATGGCACATAGAACATAAATTTTTTTATTAGCAGAAATATTGTATGGTTCAGCTAAGCAGATGAGGACAAACAAATTATGTCTTGAATTAATACTTGTCAAAAAAATAACACTTCGATTCTTCAAAATAAAATACAATACAGGACAAACTTATATTGTAAAAAAATTATATATATATATATATATATATATATATATATATATATATATATATATATATACAGATGCTTGTCAAAAAGTAAAAGCTAATTTTTATTTTTTTTCTCAGGAAAAACAAATAATTTTTTTTATTTTTAAAAATCACTAGTATTCCTGCATGTCTTGACAAATGTTAACAAAAATTATAAACTGTGCTGAAAAAATTGTTATACTGATAAAATTGATAGTTTTCATTTGATCAGCACAGGTGTTTTTAAAAATACCAAAAATTTTAATGCATCACAAAAATTTAAGCCGTACATTTACAATGAAGTATATAGTCAAAACTGACTTTTTTAAATGCTGAAATAAATGATAAAATACTTATCTGAGTATTGATGAGTAGAAAGTCGTTTTACAATTAAAAAAAAAAAAAAAAAAGAAAGCTACACATTTTTTGATTTCAACATTTAAAAAATAATGAAATTAGATTATAATCAATTATTTACCTGAGAGAGTTTTCTGAGTAATTTAAAATGTTCTTGTAAGTATTTAAAACCAAAAAAAAAATTTGGCTCAACATAATCTTAACTGTAAAAGATTTTTTAGATTACAAAAATCTACAAACTTTTGCCTAGTATACTTTACAACATGTAAAAGTACTTTCCTTCTAAAAAAAAAAAATAAAAATGAAATGTAGAACAGACTTAAAAAAAAATTAACATTTTCACACTTTTAAAATAGTTTTGTACACTTCATTCTGGTTCTAGAGGCAACTGGTTCCATTGTAATGCTGCATTCTGAAATCGGTGAAGTGTCGTAGCCTGTGAATCAGGGGTGTGCTGAATCAAAGGGATTTGGCTGCTGTTAGGGTTGGTACATGTAGGGGTTTCGGTGGAGGGTTGAGTGCTTGAAGGAGTATCGGAGTGCTTTTGTAGGAAATGCTTGAGCCATTTTTTTTAGCACAATCAATCCTACAGCCAGAGTAGTGGCTATGGCCCATGCTAAAAATCCTAAAATACATTTAAAAAAATGAATAATCCTTTATAAATTAAATAATGGTTGATTTTGTTTAAATTCCAGATACAAAATAAAAGTTTTTGTAATCTTAAAAACTTTCATCCTCATCATCACCATATTCAACATCATTTCTAAAATTGGAATTTCTAAAACTCAGATCACGCATTGTTGTAGTTTTTGGTTTATAAACATTCTTTTGTTTCCTTTGCCGGAAACATGTCTGCATTGTTTCCTACACAATATTACCACAAAAATTAATATTACACAACATATAGTCAGAATAATGTAATCTATGGGATTACCCCAGGCTTTATCTGATAGCGTCTCTCCGTCATCCTCTTTGAAGTTGATAATCAACCTCTTCAAGACATCACATTTTGATTCTGCAACACAAAAGTCAAATTAATAAATGATACACATTAAAAAGGGTTACATGTATGAGCTTTCAGTTCAGCTAACTTAGTCAAACTAAAGTACCATGAGATGTGGTGCTAGAGGGCGTTGTTGTCGACGTTGGTGTGGTGCTAGAGGGCGTTGTTGTCGACGTTGATGTGGTGCTAGACGATGTTGTTGTCGACATTGCTGTGGTGCTAGAGGGCGTTGTTGTCAGCGTGGATGTGGTGCTAGAGGGCGTTGTTGTCAGCCTGGATGTGGTGCTAGACGATGTTATTGTCGACATTGCTGTGGTGCTAGAGGGCGTTGTTGTCAGCGTGGATGTGGTGCTAGAGGGCGTTGTTGTCGACGTTGATGTGGTGCTAGACGATGTTGTTGTCAATGTCGATTCCTCTGCTAAAAAAAAAGATACTAACACTTTTCATTTAATTTTCTTTATAAAAGCACATGTTACTTTTGCTAGAATGGAAATGGTGAATTTACTAATGTTTTATTTGGTTTAGGTATTCTCCTAATACTTGAACACTCGATCCATTCACATGTGTAACTTACTACACTATTTCAAGCTATTTTCAATCTTATCATGTCAGACCTAGAGTCATACATTTTCCCTCAATTAATGACTAAAAACAATGAAAACGCTCTAGTCATAATAAAATAAACAAAAGAGCTGGAATAGTATAAAGTGTTTCTACTATTTACTACACATATTTCATAGTAAATTTGGTGCAATTGTATTGGTCATGTGACAGTAAACACGAGGTCTTAGTCACGTGACATTCATTCATACATTTTTCACGCTATCAGTCTGACCTAAATTTAAACATCGGTGCTGGTGTGAACTTCGGTGCTTTTTTCCCCATGTAAAATCAACAAATAAGTGTGTAATCGGAAGGGGTACTAAATTAACATCGATTTTTCTCTCGAGCTTTCATTCCCCGCGAAAAATGAGTGTCACAAAACAATTTATCTCGTTGCAGAACACATGAGAACATAATTCTCAACTTATCTTGAAAAACATCATGGGAAAGAAATTAACCATATATTAATAAAAGTGTTTAAACTTACCACATGGTCCTCTAGAGTCCCGGACCTTGACAGTCCGCGGGTCTCCCACGATCGTGACTTTGGTCAGTTCGCAGTTACTTACAAAAACTTCCCGAATTTCACTTGCATTCACACGGACTTCTCTGCACGGTAAAAAACACAATTTTACCCCTCTTTCTATTGGCAAGGGGGAGGAATGTTGAACCACGAGGGCAAAAATTGCAAAGATGACTTGTAAGACGCACATAGCTTCTGCAACTGAACTAGGGTATATGATATCCCGGGGTTGCATTCTCGTGACATCTGATGACCGACACTGTACACTGAGGTTAAAAGGTCGCCGCGCGCATTTTTCGGACATGTTGTTGACACATGATTATTTTTACATTTTATTGCAAACATAACAAAATTTTGGCCCGTTGAAATATAGATTAGCTATAGATGCCCATTTCTTTAATTGGTGTAAATAAATTCAAATCAAAATGTTAAGAGAAGGGGGGGGGGCACTTAAGGGTCCACAGCAGGCATTAGTACATTTATTATAATTACGCATTAATAAAATGACAATTAAATCATTGTGCCCGAGTTTGTACAAATACACATGATGCACATATAATGTAGATTGAGTTACCATTTCCATTCATAATACAAGAGTACTTGAGACCAGTTTATATAAATGTCAATTCAATCAAAAATTATTCCAGTAAGTACATCAGTTATGATAAAGTTTTTTTTTCTAATTATATGTATACCTGACGAAATAAATACTAAGGGGTACCATGAAAACAGTACCCCTGTGTTTTATTAGGTAGGGGGTATATTTTTTAATCAAAAGAAAAATAAATAACGTCAGGTGCCTGTGCCCAAAGTATATAGGACATCTTGTACCTATATCGTATATGATAACGCATACAAGTATAATATCTAGCTCTTTTCCAGTTTGCATTTTAACATAATGAGGTTAAATAAATAGCTATCTCTTATCGCGTTTTAATGAAGGCTAGCAAGGGTGTCGAAAACGTGACATTAAGTTTTGGCGCAATTTCTGCAGAAAGTGCCTTTTGGACCTGGCGTGAAATATTTTTTGCTAGCGTCTGTGCTTTTCCCCCAAACTTTTGACCTTTTGAAACAAACATTTTTGAATCGCCAGAAAATCTGAACAAACTTATATAGACAATTATTAAAAACGCCCCAAAAAAGAAGTATATATTAAGGGAGCCAATTAATACATATCCATCTGTCCACCATACCTTCCTAAATTTTGTGACATCTACATTAATACAACAGAGTTTATTTTGCAATGGCTGAGTCAAATCAAGTAAAGTAAGTAATTTTGCTTAAAGTTAAAAAAAAATGTATTTGTTTGGAATTATGTTTAGACTTTTCAAAAGTTTAAAAGGTCTATGCATTTTTTTTAATTTATGCCACTTGCCTGTAAACTCAGCTACGTTAAGGAAGGATATATGAAAAAGTGTGGAATTTAACAAGTATAAACTGTGTGATATTAAATTTTCGTTTATTTTGTAGTTATCTTAACAAGTCTGGAACCAAATATTTATATTATAATGTTGGGGGTTTCTTAATGCACAAGCATATTTTTTGTTGTCTCGGGGGCACCCAGTCACGTGATTCGTCTAAAAATAGGTGACCAAAGCTGAGGTTCATAAACATGCCCAGTGCAAGGGCTTAACCTATCCAATTATTTAAAAAAAAATGTCATCCTGTAGAGTAGACCTCTGTGTATCCAGAAAGTGCTGGGAGCTTAAATATCATAACTATTTTAATTATATTTATTCAAAAAGAGATGCGGCGAATTGCTAAATATAAGGGACTTTCCAACAACATGTACCTCTCTACTCTTATCCATGAAGATTTCGTCAAGCTCCCAGCACTTTTTATGTACAATAGGTATGCATTAAACAGATATCAAAAAACCAGCTAACCTTATCAAGTGTATGCCCTTGCACTGGAGCCGTTTATCAAGTATACACATGTTTACAGCACTACGGCGTTCAAATGAAAACGCTTACATGCACCAGATTCAAGGGCAGATCACTCTAATATATTGACAATACATAAAAGTTTTCCTTGGCGCCGGTTTTCGAAACATAATATAATACCATGAAAAAAAAGCATATTTTTGAATAAATCTTATGCACACATTCTTAGACTTACTTTTTCTTTTTTAATACGTACTCATATAACTGGTTACCGAGACAAATCATTCATATAAATAAACTTTTTCTCAATATGCTGGTAAGATACCCCTCTACACCCACTCCCGTTATCATTTCAACTGCTCAACTGTGGCTTTCCAAATGAAATTGTTTTCTAGGCATGGAAAATCTGTCAACAAGTTGTAAACCATGCTTACATAAAACATTTCTCTCGTAATAATCTCTCTTTACCCCCCCCCCCCCTCGTTTTCTTCTGCATTGCGCTATTTCATCAAGCACGGCAATGTGCTTTGCTTATTTTCCCTCGATTTTTGACCAAATTTATAACACATGAACAATTTTATTTCCCCCCCCCCCCAGTTTATTCAATAAATAACAAATTACACCCACAACATCCATACTGCGCCTGTAAAATAAAATCCAAAAAATGCAATACCATTACAAACACACTCCTTGGAAATTCAGATTTTACTAGGGAGATTTTACTTTTTTAAAGTAACTACTCTTAAATGGGAATCTGATGCATTGCAGTCATACAAATAATTTTATATTATATTAATACGCTTACAAAATAGCTAACGTACCGTACAAAAATAATTATTTTACCAATTAAAAAAAATCGTAATTATTATTAACTGTCGTTATTTTTGCTGAAATAAATTTTGAAACACGCACAGGACAATTTCCTTTTTTTTTCTTTTTTTCTTCAAATCTCACATAACTGCGAGATTACATATGCCATCATGCCACGGAGGAGAATGTCACCTTCAGGTAAAAAAAAAATGAATTATTGCAATTTTGCCAAAGTAATTATAGCTAGAAATAGCAAAGACCCCCAGAGTATTGATTTTTGGAATTCCTATAGCCAAAAAAAACAATAGTTCGTCTTTAACAGCATCTACTGATCTTGGAAAATTCAGTAATCTTTACACGGCATCAAAGCGGTATGAATTCTACAACAAAGTTATGTTTAAATACCCCAAAATGCATGTGCCTTACACAATCTTTATACGGCAACTCCCAAGACTACAAAATTATTTAACAAAAAATAGCTACTGGAAAAATGCAAACAAAAACGGTGAGAAGGCACAGTTCATTAACCATTTTGGTCTACAAAAATGGTGCATGCTACCTGAAAAGGAAAGAAAAATGCATAACTTGGTTGACTGTAGTCCGTGCGAGTCACAGTCTTTGAATGAAACAGTCCTCCATAAATCTGTAAGTAAGGAAGCAACTACTGTGGTGTCAAAAACTGAGGAACTATTCACAGAGGTGAAAAACTTGAAAATTTCAAAACCAGAACAAGTCATCAAAATTTTGGATCCTATAATGGAGAAAGAATTTAACACTTCTATGAAAACAACAGTTTCAAAACACTACAATTTAACAGAAAAAACATCAAGTGAACAAAAACAGAAAGTCAAACAAACAAAAGTAAATAAAGAAAAAATGCACACAATTATCTCCGAAAATTCAAATGATTTGAACAACTTTTTGGCATCTGGCAAATCATTCAGTCAACTGAATAGAGAGCGCCTTGATACTTACTTTGAAACTCCAAACAATGCCAAAGTTAGAACTGAAAAGCAAGCAAACAAAATCAAAGAGGGTAAAAAAAACAAAAAAGTCACATTGGCATGACAAAGAACTATCAGTTGAAAAAAAATGATTTCCTTGATTTTTTGAAACATCTTGAATCTGGTACAACGGTTATTTGGAGAAGTCTCGCTCTAAAATTTGGTCTTAGAAATAAGAATGGAAATATTCCCCAAAATGCAGGTCAAGTCATGAAAACTCTTGCAGAACAAAATGGAATCGATACAGGAAAATTAAATACTAGTGTCAGAGTAAGTGGCAGAGACTACTTCCAGAGAGTTAGAAGAGCCAAGATGAGACTTTGTTCCCAAGTTACTATTCCCACACCACGCCCTGTCCGACATCTTCAGGATGACATTAAAGAAAAAGTTAAAACCAATGCTTTGTATATAGGGGAAAAAATTGTTCCAAAGATTTTCAACAGAAACCAATAACTGTGTATGGACGAAAGATTCCACTTAAAGAGATACGGAACAGCATGAATCAGGACCAAATAGAGTTAATGAAATTCAGAACAGACACAGAATATGACCAAATGACAGACAAAGAAGTAAAGAACATACTATCCTCAAAATATAACATGAAAGACCAAGGTACAAAAGAAGATCTCATCAAATTAGAGAGAACACGTCACCTTAAGATATGGCATGACCACTCAGACATCCTCAATCACAGTTATATATCATTCATGGTGTCTACTCTGTATGATCCCTACATATTTCTAACAAACCAAGAATACTGCCAAAAGTTCCCAGATCGTCCTCCCATTGATGTTCAGGCTACAGTAGAGAAGCCGCATCTTTACATTTTGGGTCAATCCAAAAGTACAGACCTTGACCAGTTATCTTACACGCTGTCAAGAATAGAAGATCTAAAGGAGCTCCTAGAACCAATGGAAGTTAATGGAATACCTGTCCATGACGTCATGCGAGTCTTTAGTGGTGATGGACCAGCAAGGCAGTTTGAATCAGGACAGCAAAGGGGAGGTAATTTTAGCTGCCTTTGTGGAATACCATCCAAAGAGCACCAAAACCTAGAGTTTGCTTATGGATTTCATCCCCCATCTCTAGAAGATAGGTGTAAAGTTTTCAAGGGAGGCTCTCTCTGGAGAAGATTTAGCTTAATAATCCGTCACCATTTTCCAACCTGAAGAAGGAGGACTTGGTCAAAGAGTTAGAGTCTAGAGGATTGCTTCTTTATGACCTAGGCAAAACACAGCTTCAAGAAAAGTTACAGTCCATACTTCACGGAATCCAGCGCCCTCCTGCACTGTTCTGTTCTGGTGAAGATCTACATGACCACTTGGCCTTATATGAAATCCCTGCCTGTGAACCCTTACATGATCTTTCCAATGTTGTCCAAAATATCATAACTGAGCTGCCCTCACATTTTGATGATAAATCCGTTGAAAAAGACTTTGAAAAATTTTCTGCAACAACCATAGGTGACAAAAATCAGATCCGAGGTTCTGACGCACGACTCTTTGCCATTAAATTAGCTAAATTTGCCCTGTCCATGTACCATGAGAAAAGAATCTCCCAAGATATCCTGGAATTATGCACATCTCTTGTTGAAATTACAGCTTTATGCTATATGCACTATAACCAGAGATCACCAAAGCAGATACTAAGACTTTATAACCAAGCATTTAAATTCAGCAGTCTTTGTAAATCGGTTATAGGCATACCAAAGAAGATGACAGCTCGAAAATTCTATGGCAGCCATTTCCACTCTTTAACAGTTCATGCGCCACAGACAAACAGGATATTTTGCTTAAGATCACTTATACCTGAACAGGAGGAGCGGTCTTTTGGTGATCTTCGCAACATTTCCTTGCACACTTCTAACAGGCAATGTGGAAAAGTTATTGACAATGCCATGCTCCGATTCACTGCCCAACAATGCAAAGGAAACAAAATTGATTACACCAGAGTTCATGAGTCAACTATAAGCCATCAAGCCAAACTGCTTCCATCCTTTGGAGACACCATGTTCTCATTTGAAATGCTGAAAAACAGGCCAACCCTTTTTCAGAGGCACTGCGAGAGGATTGCAGACTTCCTTCTCCCAGGAGAGAATCAATGGTGGTCATTCAGTGGAAGTCACATCATATTCCATGATGGTCCATCTCATCCAGAGTCTCTTGCTGAACCCCATCTTTATCATTTCCATCTCACAACATCAGAAAAGCAAAGTACACATCTGCAGCAAACCTGGAAAAAATGCATAGAAGAACTAGAGTCTGGAAAATTACACCTTCCTCTTTGGAAACTAAAACTGTACAAGGATGGGAAACTCATTAAAGTCATTAAAAATGAAGGTATTTATTAACTATTGATTGAGAAATGTTACAAATAAATAATCAATATCTTGAAACTTCATAAAAAGTATCTCATTATGTCCAATCTATATTGAAACCAACATATTGAAAATTCTTACATACAAAATGCACTGCCTGCAATATATCCTTTTTACATTACATTAGATCAATTCAGAAGTGTGGAACATGTAGCTAATGGTAAAACGCACACAGATAAAGAGCCCAGGAGAGAGAATGAACTAAATAATGGTAGAGAGTACAATGGTGGTATGGAGAACGGAGTCAGCAATACTGCATCCATGACGGGTAATTCAGAATCTATTCTTTGAAATAATTACATTACACATGCATTTTGAATATGAAGTTTGTGGAAATCATTCAAAACACCATAACACGGACAGGGGATCAAAAGGTTAAATATGCTTTTTATTTTGACGTCACAAATAATTAATGCTGTGGAAATGCAATGTCATAAGCCAAAATCAAAAATCATGCTCACATTGAACAGAAGCTGTGGCAACGGCTCTTCCATTAACTGTAACTTACCCCAATAATAATACAAGGATTTTGACATATAAATCACATTTGCAGTGAAAGGCCAGGAGTTAAAAATGTAAATAAAAGCAATGAATCATTATTTTTTGAAAGATATAGTCTCATAACTGCAACAGTGTGTGCAAACAAATTTTTATAATTTGTTCGTACACACTGTTGCAGTTATGAGACTATTATCTTTCAAATAATAATGGTTCATAGCTTAAATATGTTCCTACCAACACACCTACCTAAGGCTAGAATATACAGTCAAAATCTTGTTTTCTCCTACTCAGTACCACAATAAAATAAACCATTCTATTTTTTCATTAGGTGTATTCAGGAGAGGGACACAACTGAATGATGACAAAATGAACTATGAAGGTCTGGATAACGGAGTCAGGAATATTGCGACCGTAACAGGTAAATCAGAAACTATACTGTGAAATATGTTCCTAACAAAACATCTACCTAAGGCTAGAATATACAGTCAAATCTGGTTATCTCTAACTCAGTTCCACAGTGTCATAAATTCATTCCGTTTCATTAGGTCCATTCAGGACAGGGGCAGAACAAAATGATGACAAAGATAACTATAGTAGAATGGAGAACGGAGTCAGCAATATTGAAAATGTGACAGGTAATTCAGACACTATACTCAGAAATATATTCCTACCAATAACCTACATAAGGCTAGAATATACAGTCAAATCTGGTTATCTCAACTCAGTGCCACCAAGTCATAAATCCATTCCATGTTTCATTAGGAGTATCAAGGAGAGACACCGAACTTAATGATGGTGAAGATTACAATGGTGTTGAGCATGGACTCAACAATACTGCATCCATTACAGGTAATTCCAAAATATCTTGAAATATGTTCCTACTAAAATGCCTACCTAAGGTTAGAATATACAGTCAACTCGTTATCTCTAACTCAGCTGCCACAGTGAAATTATCCATTCTTTGATTCATTAGGTCCATTCACGACAAGGACAAAACTGAATGATGGTGAAGAATACGATGGTGTTGAGCATGGGCTCAGCAATATTGCATCCGTGACAGGTAATTCAGAAATTATACCTTGAAATACGTTCCCACTAACACACCAATCAGAAGCTAGAATATACAGTTATATCTGGTTAATTCTCAGTGCCACGGTGAAATTATCCATTCTATTTTTTCATTAGGTGTATTCAGGAGAGGGACACAACTGAATGATGACAAAATGAACTATGAAGGTCTAGATAAAGGAGTCAGGAATATTGCGACCGTAACAGGTAAACCATTTGCATCTAGGGAAACACTCAGGGATTATGGTATTTCTATTGTTTACAATATGCACATGCAATTCAGGACCAAAAAACCTGACAAACCATAAATTTAAAGAGGCATTAAAATTTTTCTAAACCTACCATCTTTTTGTTGCAAGACTTCTCTGGTTTGTTGTACTTGAGTTGGAAAGCTAGAAGATGAACAAAAAATATCTGAGAAACATAATAATATATTCCCCCATGTGGCAATATAAATGAGGCCACATGGGCCATAATGCTTACTTGAGTCAAATAATGACTGCTTTTCTTCATAATCAGATTATTCCTTATGTAAAACTTTCAGCCCTGCTTCTACATCAATATGACTAAACATGAGTTTGCTTTTCATGAGAAAAAGATTTTTTAAAACAAGAGGCCCATGGGCCACATCGCTCACCTGAGTAACTTTGGCCATGCTGTTCTTTACCAGATTTCCCCCCTTGTAATACCTATTGTGGCCCCGCCCTACCCCCGGGGGTCATGATTTAGAATTTACACTACATAAGGATGCTTGCACATACGTTTCAGTTTTTCTGGCCCAGTGGTTCTTGAGAAGAAGATTTTTCCTATATATTTCAATGTAAAACTTGGATTCCCTATTGTGGCCCCGCCCTACCCCCGGGATCATGATTTGAACAAACTTAAATCTACACTACCTGATGATGCTTCTATTTAAGAAATGAATTTAATTTTTAAAGATTCATGAGGACATGAACTACGACGCTTCACGCCGGCATATTTCATGAAGCGCGTTAGCTGGAGTGAAACGTTGTAGTCCATGTACCTCACGAAATTTCAAAAATTAAATTCATGTCTTATATTTACATTATTTTTCTGATGAGTTGCAACAAATTATGCCATTCAACTGTCATTTTTAAAGTAAAAATCAGTTCGCAAGTTATAGTTTTGACGTCAAGTAGGGTATTATGACGTAACAATGGAGATATTCATGCTCATCCATGGTAGTTCATGAGAAAATGAACCCTTTTCTATTTTGAAAAGAATCATAGGGGAAATTTATTGGAAATGTAAATATATAAACAGGAAGTTGACATCCGATTCAAACAAAAATATTTACAATTGCAAATGCCTTCTTCTATATATAACAATAGCAACGTGTTTCTATATCTGTATAAACACAGGTTTCTCACATCATAAATGTTTAGAGGTAATTTCTCATTGACTTCATGCGTCAAAATTTAATTGGAATTGGCTTCGCTTAGCGTTCACACGGAGCTAATGCGAAGTAATTTAATGCGCAGTATATTAATTTGAATTAAACTAATTCACATTAAATTTTCCGTGTGAACATGGTTCAAATTTAATTCGCAGTAACTTACGTTTAATTCGAATTAAACTCTCCGTGTGAACAGGACATAAGAATACATAAATGTAAATATAAGAAATAAGGCATCATTTTAAAACATCTACTGTCTGAAATATGAATAAGGGGTTGGTATGTTATCAAATTTACCATAAAGCCCTTCGTGCTTTATGGAATTTGATCACGTGACCAACCCCATATTTATATCTTGATAGATGTTTAAAAATGATACCTTATTTCTTAAACAAATCCCACAATATGGCATGCCTATACAACATGTACAAAGAGTGTGCCAAATTTTCATGCATCTGTGAAGAGTAGTTGTTGAGATAACTGCAACGAAAATTTGAAACAGACAGACAGACACACACACAGGCATAAACAGTAATCCCCCTTCTCCTTTGAAGCAGGGGTGAAAAATTTTTTTTGGAGTAAAAAATTTGGAAAGACATGTAAAACCGTATTTCTTTTTTGTAGATTCTCAAAATGTTTCCATTTATAATAATGACAAGAAAAATACTGCAGTTTCAAATGCAGTAAAAAGAGGTAAAGAAATTTGATACATCACCTTTTAAATTACTTACCTTATCTCTCTCCAGGAAATAATCCTTTCTACATAACCCCAAGTTAACTATAATCCTTATTATGGGAATCTTCGTAATCTAAACTTTCTTTCTGAACAGCAACACCTACAATAATTGTTCTCCAGTAATTAACTCAGTCTTCCTTTGCTAAATAGACAATGGAGTAACAAAAGAAGGAAGAAAATCCTGTAAAAGGAAACTGTTCAATGAAATAAGGGGTAAGAATTTTAAATATCTAATTAGTCCTAAAATTATACACAAATAATGTCGGCATTCAAATTTAATGAAGTTGAAATACTTCCGATTGCATCTGTGTTACATTTTATGCTTGTAAATTACTGATTAATATTTCAAAATATTCTATCTGCATTCTGGGTTTGTCAAAATCTATTGGAAAGAAAACTTACTCTATGATCTGAATCTGGTTTTTCAGGTTTCTCAGTAAAGTTCAACAAGTTTTGTTGATCTGCCATTATGGTATTAGATAATTCATACCATAATTGTTCTTGACATGTTATAAATCTGCTATTGATTCATATCAAAATTAATCTTGATTTGATATGAACAGTTAATAATTGAAATACACATTGAAATCCAAATTCACCCTTATCAAGGATAATACAAAATTTTAAGCTTCCAGGTCCCCCTTTGTATTCCCAGAATGATAAGAGTAATGTGTCCATTTTTATTAATAATAGTGTGGATGACATAATAGCAATCGTCAAAACAAACACTGCAGTTTCAAATGCGGTAAAATGTACAACTTTGACCCCTAGCTCCCTCCACCCCCCCCCCCCCACCCCCCAAAAATGGGTACAAGTGATTGAATTTTTCTCTTGTTTTCAAGAAAATATGGGCCAAAGTCATTTTTATGAGCATACTATCACATGGTTTTAAGCATGTTACACAACCCTTGCTACCTAGCTCTAAAAAGTAGCCTCCAAGAACTTGTATGAACATACTCATTTCTACACACAGAAGGAAATGCTGATTCCAGTGTACCATTTTAAACTTTGCTGCAAAAAAGTTAAAGAAAATTGATACACAGTCTTCTAAATCACTTACTTTAACTCTTCAAGAAATAATCCTTTTAGCTCTTATCCTCATTGCAGGAATATTGGTCAAATATCTTTGTCCACAGCAACACCTAAAAAATATGTCTTCCAGTAATTAATTCTGTTTCTGTTCAGACAATGAAGTATCAACAGAAGGAAGGAAATCCTGTAGAAGAAAATCTAGTAATGAAAAGAGATGTAAGATTTCAATCCTTTTTAAAAAAAAAATATAACTTCTTTAAAATTTGCATTGATGAAAATCAAAAGTCAGACTCTGATTCAAATTAGCAGAATTCTGCTAAATATCAGAACAGAATCACAACTGTAATTTTAGCTTTTATTTTATCATTTACTTCATTTTGGCAATACCCTGACTTAATTTTACATTTCTTTTAGGGTCTGAATTTATGTCATCTTGTGATAAACATAAGCAAGATAAGAAAATGGAAAAAGTTCTTGCAAAAGGAAATAATGAAAGAGGTAATGTAAAAGAGTTTTAAAGTAGTGATGAATGTTTAAAATATTTACCGCCATGATTGAATGTAGGGTAAGACTAATAACAGAAAATGGACAATATTACGAGGTTTTACTATACACAGGAAAACAATTCTAGAACAGACAATCTGTAAACGTAATTATTATCAGGAATACAAGTATGATTTCATTTTCTGGCTAACTACTTTTAAAACTTGTAATTCCAAGAAATAAATAATGATAGGTAAATGAAGGGTGGGACTAATATCAGTAATATACTCATTCAATATAATTAATGAGATTTTTAAAAAATAAATTCGCATTCTGATTCAAAACAATAATTTTTTTTAAGTAAAGAAATATTATTTTCCTCTTTATTAAAGGAAAAATTAATAAACATTTTTGAATATTATATGTAATTAATGATTTTTTTTGTAAAAGTCTGCCTGAAATCTGAACAAGTTTAACTTTTCTAAATTTATTTCATTCAAGTTAAAAATTATTAACGATAATCGATTCTTATTTTTTTCCGATTTTCCATCACTACAAGTAAACATCGTAAAGCAAATGAAAATTCACACATGCCCTCCGGGCATCTAATTTGAGAATTTTTACATGCCCGCCAGCAAATTTACCAAGTCCCGGGCATTTCGAAGACTGTATACTACGTCATCAATTTCAGAGAGGGATGATATGGATTCAGAAGTCCACAGTGTGGTGATCTGGAAAGTCGGATCACACCGTCATGTGATTGTATGATATTTACAGTAAAATTGAGTGATACCCACTTGGGTACATAATAAGAATTTTTATCCAACATGTTGTGCATTTTTTTATTCCCGAGTTTGACAAAAAATCACATCAAACCTCAAATCATGGGAGATCCTATACCTGGTATATATAGGGTGAATCCTTAACTAGTGCCATAGCAGTTATTTCAGTTTCTAATTAAAGCCAACACGATTCATAAAAGGAATTTGTCCACCATACTCTTTTATTCAGTTGCTATATCTGAGGGCCCCTATATAAGCTGTTCACTTGAGTTGAACATTATTCAATCAACTGTCACCTGCGTAGACGGACGAATGCTACTTCAGGAATTTTTAAAGATTTTTGTGTGTTATTGGTGTGTAAAACACACCAACTTGTCATGTAGGGATATTTCATGAAGCGCTATAGCCCTTGATAAAAAATATGCTTACGTGCAAGTCTGTGTGATTTACACACCAATTAAAACATTCCTTATATTAACATTTTACATGTTAAAACAAACCAAAAGTATACTCAATGTTTGAATTTCTCCCTGCCCTATATCATTATATTTTTATGAACATCTATGTAGCCTCCAGTGTTTCTGCTAAGTTTGAAAACCAAGGGTCATTATGACCCTTCGAAGTAAACTTTTGGGAGTCAAAGAGAATTTCTGAAGGCCAGAATTATATTTTGGGATTGTTTTCAACTATTATATTAGCTATGCTTTCTAAAATCATAATTTGACATCTAAAAATGAAACAGAAAGTAAAATATAATTTTTTTTTCATTTTACCGATTCCGCCATTTGGGTTTCGTGGAATACGTCGATCAAAAGAGAACATCTGAAAGTGGTTTGAACATTTTGCACAACTGTTTTTGAACGATTTGAGCTTTGCTCACTGTTTTATTATCATCATTAGCCTTTTTGACCAACCCAAGCTGAAATAAATATACATATGTCATATACACATGCATACCTTTTTTTTTTACTTAGACTTCCTGTTTCGTTAAGAATTAGATAGATCATAAAATTTAATAGATTGCTAACGTTGAAATGCTGATTTCAATCACTGCCACTTTGAAATAAAGCAACGATTTATTCTTAGAAAGTTGGAATGTAAACTAATAAACTGTTTTCATGAAGGCAACAATAATAAGGCTAAAGTGGATTTTTATAAAAAATTGTTTTCGCTATTTTTTCTGCGTCATGAAGACCCTTTGGGTGATGTTTTTTTTTTTTTTGGGGGGGGGGGGGAGTAAAAAGTATTTTTTATGCTTAATATGCGTTAATGGATCCACTGGCCTCATTGTGGCTTTACTTAAACAGGAGTTTTTCTGTGTATATTTCTATGCAGGACTATACACAAAAATGGGCAATCAAATCAATTTCACAGTTGGCTTAGTAGAACAGCACATCAAATGTATAAATATAAAGCTATCTATTGTAAAACACTGGGTAGCGACAAAATAACTGTGTACATCTGCCACGACAAGAGAGAAAGATACCAAAGAAACTTACAACAGTTGCACAGGTCAGTGCAGTATACAAACAAATACCTTCAAAAAGCAATAAAATGTAAATATGGTCATGTAAGATAAACTGCACGAACACATCACCATTCCACGCTGGCACCCTTGACAATAAAGCAGTTAGGCGTAAGCAATGTGAAGGGTATACCCCCGTGTTGATATTAGCAATAAAAAATCTAATATGGCATACATATGCCCATTTACGAGTCGTGTTCAGCTTTATTTTTCAGAGGCACTGAGAGACTTGTATTAATTTATAAGAAAATCTTTAAACAACAATAAGGATGTCTTTAATGTAATGAGAGACCTTAGATAAATTATCAACTAAGTGAAACATAATGGTACATGTACTTATTTTATCCTTGTTTCCACACTTAGAGAGCCTTCAGGAGTCCATGATATTTAAGGTATCCTGCCTTCTCCCAGGTGATCCTACAGTTAATGAGTATGCGAAGTACAGACGGCTTTTGAAACAGCAACCTGGGGACAAAACTCTTCAACATTCATGTGAGGTGGCTTTGGCTAAGCTTCAACTTGCAGTTAGCAGGCGTCATTCACAGCTGAAGGCAACTGACAGTGACCACACCTTGATACAATATGCTGAAGAATTAATGAGACAATGGGGGATGTATTTCTATTAACAAATAATGAAATAAGCAAAAACATAATTAAATTTTTTAGAACTATGTTTGGGTAAATTAAAATATATATAAAAGTATAATTAAGAAAAGTGCAAAGAAGAGAGCAGCAAGTTTTTTGTGTAATAAAATATATTTTACACCAATGATTCATGAGAATTAGGGTAAAGCATTATAAAATTTATAAAATATATACATTAAAACCAAATTCAAGAGTAATAAAATGTATTTTGTCTAATTAAAAGAATTAACAGTCTACTGTATTTAACTTCATAAACATGTCATTGATTAAAAACTACCACTTTGCAAGTATTTCAAATATTTTCATAATTATATTTTATTACTACAACTCCTCTCCCATTTTCCCAATTTCCCCCTTCAAAATTTACAAGTCCTGCTCAGGATTTGACACTAAGGCACTTCCAATCAACCTAGTCTAGTAAATGGTCCGATCGTGGAAAATGTACATGAACTAGACCATTTGGTAGACTCGTTCTGATAAAATAATTGTTAAACTCCCATTGCAGAACCTCAAATAAATAATCTAAAAACTTTTAAAGAAATTTTCATATTTCTCCAAAGCCATCGCTGTGTGAAGAGAATAAAAATCCCCACATGACACAATCAC